ATGATTTAGTACTTTTAAATTATGATCATTTTCATTATGACTTGTTAATTTGCAATATTTGTTTTACGCGATTTCATTATTATTATTTTTGTTGGATATTTTAGTGTCATTAATCATATCATATTTTGTGTTATTTTCTTAAGAAACACCTTAGATAGTTGTATTTTGATAGGATTAGAAATATTTGAAGTATAAGTAAATTATATGTTTGTATACTTTATCGGAAAAAACCGAAAATCCAAAAAATCCGAGGTTGAACAATCCGAGTTTTATTGATTCGGTTTGGTTTACAAATTTAAAAACCCGACACAAATAATTTGATTTGATATTTGAAAAATACGAACTACTAAAGTCTGAATAGTATCACTAGAACCATCGGTTACAAACTTATCAATTAAGCATGGAATGTGTTAGTTGTAGCATAATAACAACGTGCTAAATGTTAGATTGCAATACATAGTTAGTGTTTGGCCGTATTTTTAAATATTTTTAAAAATTTAGATTTGAAAGTGCAACTAAGATAATTAGCTTCAGAGTTTCATACAATAGACTACAACACAAACCAAATAAAAACAAGAGTTAGCTTAATCTTTTTGTAAGTTGTTAAACTTGGCTTTTTCTAGTGAACGAATATTACGAAAATTGGGGTTCAGTAAATAAGACATTATCGTTGAAGTTTTTTTATCGGATATATCATGTTTTTTCAAGAAAAAATAAAATTGGGCAGGTTATAATTGCCTTGAAGTTATATCAATTTCAAGAGTGTGTTTAATGAGGAGAAAAGGTAAATAGAATTAGTTGGAGTCATAATGGATGTCCATGAAAAATTTCGGCCATTTTTTTGTCGGAATTCCGGATCACAAAAATTCATAGACTATACACGAAAGTCAGACTAGGGCACCGTGCCCCGAGGCTCTACCCCCTACCCCCCCTCCCGCCTCAGGGCACCGTGCCCCGAAGCTTTCAAATATATATACACAATAAAGTAATTAATTTACAACAAAAATAGTCATAAATTTTTATATAAAGAAAATAGTCAAAAGTTATAAAAAGTATATATATGTTACACATTCGTTAAATATTTAATTTATATTTATTGATACCTTTTATTTTATACTTGTTTGACAACATTTTACCACACATTAAACTATGTCACACTTTTGTTTAATTTATATTTACTAATACTTCAATTTTACACTTGGTTGACAATATTTTTCTGACGAAGTGTTGGTACTTCAACTAACGCACATCCATATCTAGTAGTGTCCCGTTATTTTTGAATTCTGAATTCGCTTAAAAATCACGAATGTCCTCAATCGAACCCTTGATATTGCATGATTCTAATGAAGTAATATGACATTTTATGAAGTCTGATGAGTGTTTCAGCTAATTGAAACATGTAGTTAATATAAATCTAAATAAAATGACCGAGAGATCCATGAAACTGAATAAAAGTGTCTATTGTCTGAAAATAAAGAAATAAGTTGGTGGCACCCAGCAATCTTAAAACAAACAACATACTTGACGATAAATTTACTACTATCTAATCCATGAAGTTTCCGAATAAGAAGGATCATCAACTGTTGACTAGGAAGATGCAATCTGTTTAACCACGAATTTAAGAATGAACGCTTGATTCTACATTATGAAAAAATAGTGTAGAGAAAGTATGTTCTTGATATTCTCTGCTTGCATTCTAAGTTTATGTTTTATATCCATATAATCTATCACATATATACTGACTGTTTTTTTTTCAGATATTGAGCTAACTGCTCAATAGATTCCTTAACAAGGATAAGCATTTTTCTTTTCTTTTCTTTTCTTCAGCAGTGAACAACTTGTGTCTTATGTGCATCTTGCTTGCATTTTTCTTTAGCATCTGGCAATCTTGTTTGCCAGTTGAGGGTTTCTCGGTCAGACGAAAACTAGTACACAAAACACTGACAACTTCAAAAGAAAATTACAATATCACATATCACAGGTTATACCATTTTTAACATTAAAGGGTCGTTTGGTAGAGTGTATAAGAATAATACAAAATATGGTGCATTAGTTATGCCTGCATTATTTCTTATATATTGTTTGGTTTGATGTATTAGAAATAACAAATCTTGCATAATTTCTATTAAAAAAATGTATGTTTACAAAAATACCCTTCACACTTTATTTCTTTGTACACTTCCTTTGCAACAAGGTTCTTTGCTAAAACATCAAAAAAATACCCTTCCTCTTCCGTGTCAACTCCATTTCTTTGCAGAAGAGTAGCTAGTTAAAAGTTCATGTTGTTTTTGCATAATGATATGACAAATTGCATTTCAACTATGCATACAAAAAGATGACAATGAATAAAATATGATAGACAGCAAGACAAAAAATCTCTCAAAAGTTGAGATGAAATAAACTATTGTCCGTAAAGAATGGTCTTTTCAAACTATGTAAATGCTGATTAATAAAATTAACAATTCAATGAAACACCGTACTGTAGCTTTACTCTTAGCTCACGTATGTTATAGGAAAATTAGTTTGCTGCACAGTCTATTGTTCTAGTTGTTCAAATAAATTATATTCAGTTTACCTTATATCCATAGACAAAGTACAGAGAAGATGAATGGTTTCTAAAACAAGTACTAAGGAAAATGTTTTTTTAAAAGACTTTGAGGGTAGTTTTGTAATTATATAATCTAATGCAAGTGTTAAAATGCTATGTATTACTAATTCCTAGAATTTCTTGGTATTAGTAATACACAACTTAATACGCAATATAGTGTATACATGACATAAAAAGTGTACCAAACAAGGTATTACTAATACACACACCTATTTTTCCTAATACACTCTACCAAACGACCCCTTAAGTACCCAACAAGTTACACAGAACTGAAGAAAAACACACAGGTTATTGAACACCTTGCTTCCCAGTGAACCAAGCTGATATCATTCATCACAAGAAAACTCATGGCTCATAATACTAACATACATACATAACCGGAACAACTCTTAGACACCAAAGGTTTCACTGTTGCTTGTGACATATTATGAGAATGTACACCTCAATGGTCTCAAAGGAACCATTATAAAAATCACATCCAATGAAAATGGAACAAGCAAGCTTTGAACTAATAACAATCTCCAAAAGTAAAACCCCACCGGCTATTCCTGAAAGAAACCACTTCTATATAGAGGCTGGAATTACCAGCCAACATGACAGAGCTGATTTTCCATGCTGAAGCTCATACATCAGGCAGTTGTAGAGGGCCGCTTTTTAGAGTTATTCTTAGGGCGAACCTTCACAAAGGCCTTGTCCAAATCCTTAGCATAAAAAAAATTCTCCAATAAGGATATTTGAACATTTGTTATGTGACAAATCAGGTTATTCAGCCGAAAGTAATAAACAATTGACAAGGAACTAAAAAATGATATACCTGACCCTGACCAACACCATGGTCCTGGTTTGATGCATATGTGCTCCAAAGCTTCTCTAAGTTGTAGTATGCTCTCACTTTCTCATCAAGGGCATGAATTACTACTTTGCCTATTGCGGATTGCCATTAACAAAAATCAGTAACTGAAAATAGAATACTAAGGAATTCAGCAGAATTTGAGAACTAGCGAGTTTACTTAATTGATGGCTAGTAAAACTACATCCTGCACTCACACAATCACATGGATCAATGCAAAAGATAGCTGTCTCAATAAACAAAAACTACAAATTGCTGCAAACTTTTACATGTACTGCAGACTACACACACACAAAAGTCGATTTCCACTTGATATAACATATAATGGACATCATAAATAAATACAGAGCACTTTACTGCTGAATAACAGCATCAGAGATGTAGAAGTTGATTGTAGGTCACAGTTGATCGTCCATTTAGCACCAAAATTAATATTACGGATTACTCTTACAAACTAGATCTACAAAGAATGAAATCTGTCGACTTATTTACTTATTAAACATCATGATTGTCATAACAGAAGGATTTAGAAGCTAATTAGTGTCATAACGCATGAAAATTTGAATTTGATAGAAGTTTAAAACTCATATGATCAGACCAAGAACTCGTAGAAGCACATCATCCTTGATACACCACACCGATTGAAGCAACTTGGAGATAACCCTTAACAGTGCATCAGTAGCTTGTATGAGACAAGTAACAGATTTATGTCTCAGACATGTATTTTAAAAATACACTCCGAAATTTCTACATATAGATCTTCCCCAAAACAAGTTAACAACATTCAGATTTCACCTGAATGACTTGTTGGAAATAAATAACAACATAATGCACAATGCTTTTCACATTTTGTGAAACCACATCCACAAAAATCTTAAAACTGCATAGATAAGAGTGTTGAAATAAAGCGCTTGTTACCAGAGTCGATTACAATCCAGTTGCCCGCTTCTTGCCCTTCCACGCTAGGTAACAACATTCTCTTTGATCCTTTTTGCTTCTGCTTAACCTGCTCATCGAACGAAAAGGTGAAGTGCAAATAAGCAAATTATTCAAGCAAAATTGTTAAGATATTTGTTTTTTTTTTTTTTATAACCGAGAAATCCGTCTGTGACCCGCCCTTTGGACCAATCACAGCCTTCTAAACTCGGTGGATAATGGGCCCGCCCCTCTACCCTTCTCCACTTAAATACCGGGCTTCGCTTTGCATGGTGTGGGGCTTGAACCTGCGACCTAAGCCACAAATCCTCCACCTTTTGCCACTTGAGCTAGGCCTTGGGGGCAATCGTTAAGATATTTGTTTCCAGTAGTTAAACACTGATTATGCAATGATATTCTTTTCACAGTTTATCTCGTACTAACTATTCTTCAACTCCAAAAGTTCTTCTAAGCTGTGAACCAAAAAGATGCACAAAACTAATTTCTAGATTCATTTCTCTTTAAATGAGATAACAAGTCAAATCTGTATGAATGCTTGGCCAAATAACATGTGCAACAAGTTTCAAGGTGTCAACCACAGGTAGATACTTCAAATGTATATTACTGCAACAGCCCATAGTTGACAAGTTGAAGTTATCATATGCTTCTCGATCATGTACTTTCACAAAGATCCTTCCTCTTTCTTGGTTGATTGCCAGCTCATACTTAAGATGACTGTTACAATTATTTTTGAAACTGAAGATGACTGTTAATCCTCCCTCATCTGTCTTGGACACCTATACACTACAGTGAGATAATTCCCTGTTACAACAAGGGGAATTATAGGCTCTCCATCTGGAAGTTATCAGGATAACATCCCTCTTTTGGAGAGTTGACAAAGCCATCAAGAAAGTCTCGAGGGTGATTCCAGCAGTTATTTTTTTGGTTATCTGGAATGAAAGGAATCAGATGCTTTGATGGAATTTCAACTCCTACTCACTCTCTCAAGACTAAATGTTTAGTTAATTTGTTCAGTTGGAATTTTCTTACACCTGTTAATAGAATTGACATGTTTCTAATTACTTTTTCTGGACTTTGTTAGCTCCATAGTTCAAGCGTAGACTGCTTGTACTAGTGCTGAAATGTTTTTTTTGCCCTTCGGTACTGGAGCTAACTGGTTACACCTTTTTTTGTTTTGGCATCTTCCTGATGCCCATGCAATGTAATCTCTTACTTTACCGAAAAAAAACAATCTCTCTTTTTTTGCTGGGCTGTTGAATGACATTTTCTTAATCCTACAATCTGGAATAGACTTAAACATTTTATAAGAGAAGTAGACTTCGATATTTCCTCGTTTATAGATAAACCCCTCACTAAAAATATGCAGTAAATTGCTAAAAATGGAAAACCATGTGAAGCTTTATGTCCTTTAAGATTTAAGTAAAGAAAATAATGTGCTGACTGACGTCCTTTCTTTTCCCTTCTCCCTGACGCGCAGGCATGTTCTAGCCTTCAGCCTTGCATTGCTGGCACTTAAAATGAGACATGCAAAGCAGCAGAATCACAAAATAAGGTTATGCCATGGCCCTCAGCTTTGTTGGTTTTTTTCCTTTTCAGAGAACATAACTCCTACCCCAGCCTTTCATAAGCTTTAAAATGAAAATCTATTCAGGTGAGCACACCTCATTATGGCTTTAATTTTAAGATTAATCGAGAAGTCTATTTTCAGATAGTTCAATGGATATTTTCAGTTCTTCATTTCCTTCTGGCAGATGACAGTAACTTTTTAAAAGTTAGATAAAACAAGGTATTGTAACAAAGATTCCACATATCTCCTCAAAAATACCTATAGAACATTAGGAACTGAGAATTGTCTATTGCTTGGAACTACATCTGGGACATTTTGTGTAAATAACAACGGTTCCATTCCCCCCTCCCTCAAGTGCCTGGGTATGCTACTTCTGTAAGCTGCAAGTGTTTCCTTTCATTCAATTGCAACACAGTATACTATAATATATGATCCCTCAGTTGCTACTGATGTAGGTTCTTCCATATGATATACAGACTCCTTGTACCCAAAGGTACTCTATGAAGCTGGAATGAATCATTGGTAGAGCAAGGTCCAAATCTCAGCAAAGGCTGAAAACAAACCTAAGTGATTTCCAGATACTGGATAACAGGAACCTAGTGACTAATCCAGGTGCCTATCAAACTTTCGGTAACATAAGCATACATATTTGTCCTAAAAATGTAAGTATTTGAAGAAATGAGAAACAAAAGTGAAACTGATCGACACATTTCAAGTAGCAACGAGAATAACCGAACCTGCCTTGTAAATTAGGGCTTGAGAAATATTACGGACGTGCCAAGCGGATCGACCAGTAGCAACGACCATGAAATCTGCAAAATCACAGTGTTTAGGAATGGGAAAAACTTTGACGTTATCAGCTTTGACATCTCTGAGGATTGTCTCCACTTCCTCCAGTTTGAGTAACTCTCCGCTGCGGATTCCTTCATCGGCGCCGTCATTGGTGGCGGAGGAAGAAAAAGATAGAGAGCGATTGAGCATTGATAACCCTAGCTTCCATTGTTGAGTTGCAGGAGAAGAAGAGAAGCTTCGAGATTTTAGAACCGACCACATGGGAATTCCTGCCGCAACGCTAAACCTCCAAAACCCTTTAAACAAAACAAAGATCTTATATAGAAATGACTACAAAATGCCCAAATCCTCATTACATAAAATGAATATTTTTATTGTTATCTAACCATAAATTTAAATAATACGATATAATATAATTCAAATAATAATTAAAATAAGTATTGTATTTAAATTAACAATATAATATGCAACAACCGTCCAAACGAAGGTGTTATTGTATATGTGAATTTTATTTATTAGTTCACATAAAATTTTAATTAAATATCATATCATTGTACCCGTAATAAAAGGAATTAATGTAGTCTTGTAAAATTAAAGCATATTTAAAACCACAAATGTGGTATTTTGAAAAGACACCTAACATGATGGGTATGTCAACAATGAAGAAGGAAAAAGGACCTGTTTTAACCAAAAAATATGGTCCGTTAAAAAATAGGCATAAATTGTAGTATTAAATTTTCAACTTTTATCTTTTTAAAATAATAATAATAATAATTAATTAGTCGGATTCATTTTTCTTAATTGACCTATTTAAGTTTTAATAAATAGTAATTTTTTAAAATGCCGATAAAGTAAAAATAACAAATACAAGATAAAAAATAAAACTAGAAAATTGAAATGATGAAACTTGATTCAAGAAATCTGTTACTAGATTTCAATATGTTTTGTTGCTTCTTTGGAATATAATTTAATATTTATAGTAAATTTAATGGACTAAAAATTATAGTAATTGTTATATAAATGGGGCCCTCAACATTGGGGGCTTAAAGCATTGGCTTTATTTGCTTCGTATTGAAGCCGATCCCCATATCTCAGGGAAGTATAATTTACAAGTTATTGTAAAGCAGTGGGTTTACTTAATGCGCATCTAAATAGTAATTGCTTAAATTTTTTGGTAGAGTTCCAAAAGATTTAAAAAATACGCATAATACATTAACAAATATTTTAAACTTGACCTAAGTTAACAAGTAAATATTAATTTTGAGGAGTTAATATCTCAAAAGGTTACTCAACTTTGAAAATTTATCTAATAAGTCATCATTAAACTTTGTTTTGTATAAATAAAATCACTCACCTAAATTTATCACTAAAGTAAATTGACATAACAAAATAAATTATTTTTATGTCATGTTCATGCTTAAAATTATAAATAAATAGCTCAAAATTACTATTTTATTAGAAAATAAAATAATAAAGACGAATGACAATTTTGAAATATTAAAATACAAATTTAACTTTCATATACTTGTTTTCAATTTAACTTTAAATACTTTTTTTTTTTTAAATATTTCTCTCCAACTGCCTACTAATATTTCTCTGTAGGAATAAGAAATACTCGAACAAAAAATACTGTATCACTGTTATTTTAAAATTTTCTCTCATTTAGTCCATCAAACGTCTCAAACTTTTGTGCGTATACTAATGGGAATGTGAATACAAGAAAAAATAATTAAAATAGTTGTTTTCATCTTATAATGGGTAATTGCCAATTGGTTTGGGGTTCTCTCTTAATCCCGATTTCAGAATCGACGATGATAACGAAGAAAAAATAAAAAATTATGAAAGAAAATATTGTTATTTATCTTTATTATTTTATTCTATCATGATATAATAATTTATTTTATCATGTCAATTTTACTTTTTTAATGATAACTTTAGTTCAGTGATTTTATTGATACAAAACAAAGTTTAATGACTTTGTTAGATAAATTCACAAAGTTGAGTGACCTTTTGAGATATTAACTCTAATTTTGAGAGTGAATATATAGACACATTAACTTGATCTCAATTGACAATTAAACACTCCAACTCGTCGTCGTGGACACCTGACACTGGCGTGAGTCATAACACATAAATTTTGGAGGTGTCTAGACGATCATTTAAGTAAATTGGAGTGTTCAATCTACACACACAAAAAAAATGAATTGATATGTCGAAATGCGCACTCTCAAAATTGAATTATTTACTTGTCAATTGAGGCCAAATTTAAATATTTCATTTGTATTATACCTAAGAAATATGTCACATTTCATATATTTTGTCATGTTTTTTTTTGTTTCCCATCCGATGTCCGGAGCCCACATTGGAGCCCCGACTAAATTCAGATCACGCACTGCAGGGTTCATTCAGGGGTGACGCTCCCAACATGATTTCTTCTATACCAAGGCTTGAACCTGAAATCTCTGATTAAGGATGAAGCAGTCCCACACTACACCACAACCCATGTTGGTATATATTTTGTCATGTTTTTTTTTGTTTCCCATCCGATGTCCGGAGCCCACATTGGAGCCCCGACTAAATTCGAATCGCGCATTGCAACGTCCATTCGGGGGTGGAGCCCTCATTGGAGCCCCGACTAAATTCAGATCACGCACTGCAGGGTTCATTCAGGGGTGACGCTCCCAACATGATTTCTTCTATACCAAGGCTTGAACCTGAAATCTCTGATTAAGGATGAAGCAGTCCCACACTACACCACAACCCATGTTGGTATATATTTTGTCATGTCATATTTTAATTACAATCACACTTCTATTTGGCTAATTAATTAACATGGGCATTGGATGGAGAAAGATTACTAAACTTATTAATCTATTATCTAGTACTAGTATGATTTATGATATGATAAACAAGCACTCCTCACCTTACCTACCAATTACAATGACATTGATTTTTAATATGTTGATCATCTTATTAGTTGTTACAATAGCTATTCCACAAGGAGTAAACAATAAAAGGATTATAACTAAACAATTCAATGTCTCTTTCCATCTACTCCAAATTAGCCATATGATAATCATACTTAGTATTCACAGAAAACCATATTGACATGGTAGTTTATAATAGCTGATTTATTCCTTAAACATGAAGAACATTAAATGGAATTTATTTCAACTTAAATGAAAACAAAATCAGTACTATATGAATTATGAATATTATCTCATACGTTCTTCCAATAAATTTGTCTTATAATGAGTGATTACATTAATTGATAATTTATTTATTTTTGGTGATATTAAAAACAAAGGGTGAATACTGCACAAACTTGTTCTAGAGGTAATCTCAGACTTGGCTAGTACATTCAGCCGGTTATTTTAAAAAAATTATACCATCCTAATTTTTCGGATATTTTATAATGTATGGGCAATTTTTTTAAAAAAAATCATCTCAATCATATCGATTTCTCTTCAATATTAGTATGGTTCGGTTAATTTTTTATTTCTTTTTACTTTAAGGTATCACCTCAAAGCAAGTGTGTTCTTGAAGAAGCACTTCTTCACCAAGAAGTCAAGAATGTAAAACATTATTGTTGTATTGTTTGATCTTAAACTTAGAAGAGTGTTTGCATAGATTTTTCCGTACTCTACTATAGTATCTTTTAATTTTAAACCTAAATAATTTAAGAATAACTAAAAAGCAAATGTCCAAAGCCATCCAATCACCAAAGGCCTATGACCTAGTTTACATTTATATTTGAAAAATACTACAAAATATATTTATATATTAAATTTAACATATTGTTAATGTATAAAATATATTTGCATATATGTAAGGTTATTCAGTTTGGTTCGAAATTTTTTAAATTTTTTTTATAAATTAAAAAGACCTTCCCAATTGTTTAGGACAATTAAACACTTAAATAAAAGTCCATAATTTTATTTTAAAATGATATAAATCAATTTGGTACAGTTAAATTCGATCAATTTTTCATATTCTTTTAACACCCCTAGATTAACACATATTATGCGTACGCTAAAAAATTTACTATCTTTATATGTGTTGACATTATGTTTATCATAAAGTATAAACAGATTATCTTATTTTTGGTAAGGTAGACAAGAATTTGTCCTTTCTTGTTATTTGTCAAGTACTATTTCCTTCCTAAATTGGTTATTAGGGGTGTTCATCGGTCGGTTCGGTTCGATTTTATGAATTATCGGTTTTCGATTTTTAAATACGCTAAACCAATAACGAATCAATAAGATAATTTTTTATCGGTTTTCGATTTAACCAATAAGAATATGCTTATAAAACAAATATATGACTTCTCTAATAAATTTGACACGACAAGACAATAATATAACTTTACAAAAGCTCATAAAATAGAAATAATAATAACAAACATGAAAAGAACTATACATGTGTAACACAAAGAGAAATAAAGAGGAATATGATTCTTACTTTAGGTTTTGACGATTTGTATAATGTAAAATTGTGAACTCAAAGTTACAGCGAAGTATGAATCAATGGCTAAATGACTAAGACATAACTATTAAGATATTGAGATTAAAATTTATTAATATGTATGTTGTATATGTAAAAGTATTAAATTACTATAGTCTTAACTCTTAATGGGTTATTGGTTTACCCAATAACCCAATATTGAAAATCAATATCGAACCGATAACCCGATAATTTTTTTTTATAAAACCATTCGGAAACCGTTAACCCAATAACCCAATAGCAATAAACCAATAAGACTTTTTTCGGTTCGATTTTTGCACACCCCTATTGGTTATCATATTATTATTATTATTCCAAAATAACCGTATAAAGTTAGAGATATAATGATAACTTTCAATAAATATATACATTAGCCCTTCATCATTCAATATATTAAGCAACTTTACGTTGGACAACTTCTTCATTGCTATGAATAATTAGGAGAAGTAAAAGAAATATATTGAGAAATTAAATTAAAAATAATAAAACATGGTTAGGAGCAGCGGCGGAGCCAGAATTTTCAATAAAGAGGTTCAAAATCTAAAAGAATAGACATATGAAATAGCCGAAGGGGGTTCCATATCTAATATATACCTAACAAATTATTTTAACCATACATAAATAAAATAAAATATTCCGCTAAAGGGGTATCCCTAACTATAAGGTGGCTCCGCCACTGGTTAGGATTAATAACCATGTTTAGGATTTGTGATATAATCATATTGTACAATTGATACTCTTTATTTTTCTAAAATATATATAGGAGTGATAATCTAATTACAAATTGTATCTATATAACTAAGTTT